CCGAGCCCCCGACGGACCCGAAGCTCGGGTGGGATCTGCCCCCCCCGGATGAGGAGGAGGAGGCTGGGATGCAGGAGCGATGGTCCCCAGGGATGGACACCCTACCAGGGGGTCTCTGTGCTCCCCAGTGGGACCCGTGCCCCCCCACCACAGGGTTGAGGGTTTCTAAGTGTGGGGTTTTGGGGAATGGAAAGTCAAAAAGCACCTCTGGAAGTCCAGACCGACCTGAACGGGCAGCATCACCCTCGCAGCCACCCTGGGTTTCATGGGTGTCGCTGGGGTGGTTTGACTTCAGCATGAGGTTGCCTCTTGGGTGCCTGGCAGGACACTGGGCTCCTGCTGGGGTTTCCCAGGCTCCTTGACTACATCAGGATCTGCCCAGAACCGGACCAGAGGAAGACATCTGGCCCTTGGCCCTTGCAGAGGTCATAGAATCACAGAATGGTTTGGGTTGGAAGGGACCTTCAAGACCATCCAGTTCCAACCCCCTGCCCTGGGCAGGGACACCTCCCACCACACCAGGTTGCTCCAAGCCCCATCCAGCCTGGCCTTGAACCCCTCCAGGGATGGGGCAGCCACAGCTTCTCTGGGCAACCTGTTCCAGTGTCTCACCACCCTCACAGCAAAGAATTTCTTCCTGACATCTCATCTAAATCTCCCCTCTTTCAGTTTAAAACTGCTCCCCCTCCTCCCATGTCTCCCCTCCCTGATCCAGAGTCCCTCCCCATCTCTCCTGGAGCCCCTTGAGGGAGACTGGGTGATCCCCTTCTGCAGGATTTCGTCCTGCTTTCTCTGTGGGGTTTCTCCTTTTCCTAATCCCCCCTTCCTCCCAGGTGGCAACATTTTGCAATTACTGTGAAAAGGGGACATGGAAGGGGCTGCAGAATCCCAGGTGTGCACCTCACCATTGCAGGATGTCATTCCTGCCTGTGCAGGGGAGATGGAGAAATCTTTAGCCCGGGGTGAAACCCCACGGCAGGCAGGGCATGAGCAGGATGAGTCGCTGCAGAGCCTCCCTGTGTGGTTATGGTGTGCTATGAAAGCTAATCATAGAATCATGGAATGGTTTGGGTTGGAAGGGACCTCAAAGATCATCTAGTTCCAACCCCCTGCCCTGGGCAGGGACACCTCCCACCAGACCAGGTTGCTCCAAGCCCCATCCAACCTGGCCTTGAACCCCTCCAGGGATGGGGCAGCCACAGCTTCTCTGGGCAACCTCTTCCAGTGTCTCACCACCCTCATAGTAAAAAATTTCTTCCTGAGATCTAATCTGAACCTTTTTTCTTCCAATTTAAAACCATTTCCCCTTGTCCTATCATTAC